CCATGCATGCTTTATCTATCTATGGTCCAACAACTACCACTTGCCCCTATTTCCTTAAGTCTTGGGCAATGCTAACTGACGTAGACAAAGGAGGAAACGAAACTTTTGAGCAATTGAACAGTCTCTCGAATTGCGATGAGTCAACTTTTAGAAACACATCTCGATATTTTGTTAAAACCTTTCTCTCCAACAGCAATCTTTAACTTCAGGTCGACCTATCATCCCTCCCCGGAGCTGTCAAATCACGCTTTGTTATCACAATTGATCGGTCTCTCAATTACCCTTGGAACAGATTGATCCCACGAACGAAATATTTCAATCTGATCGTTTAAATGTAGAAGGACTAACGAATGTGTTTTCCGCTTAAGCATTTCACCTTCAAATTTTTTCTTAGGTGATCGATACTCTGTCCTTTATATCGACACCAAAATCCTATCCTTCCCCTTTGAACCCCATCCCCACGGCCATCGCTCCTTCAGGTCACCTTTTGTTGCTACAATCTGCTGTGCACGCGAGGGCGACCTCATTAACGAGAGTAGGAAAATGTTCTCTTTTACCTTATCCATTCTTTCAAGAGCGCTTGCATGTTCAGAAATGACTGAGTTTGACGTCAACATTAAGTCCACGAACTGACCTCCCTCTTTACGTCCGTGTAGTCTGTGGAGGGTAAAGGACTTCTCCTGACAACGAGTGGCTCACGATCCGTCTACCAAATGATATCCTTTGATGTCGCCTGCCCTAGGCGGCTGTGGGTGCTTTCTGGAGAAGTTAGCATGGGCTTTATTTCTGCATGCAGCCAGTGAGCAAACGCAGCGCCAAAACTCCTGCCTAGCAGAAACTCAACTTCAAAATGCATAGACAGATATAAAGGACAGGTCACTGGCCCTACATTTGGTCCCCAGTAAAGCACAGCTGGGGTCTTAATAATAGGATGCATCCGCGGATAGGGTCGTGGGAACCATATTCATCACAGGAATTGAATTTCACCAGCCAATTTCCGGAATCTTAGGTCGATCAGCAGCTGGAAGAACCGATCCAATTCAATGTCATGAATCGATCAAAAACACACCTCCTTACCATCTACGATGACAATTTGTTCCTTACCTCCTGCACTTCTGTTACACCATCATCATGATCATCGCCAATTTTATCGTGATTGCAAACATTTCAAAGGCACTCCTTGGATTCCCTGAAGACTTGCGAGAGTAACTCCTAAGCGCATCCGCTTCAGTCAGTGTGCAGATCATGCTGGACATTCTTTTCAGGTGCTCATCGGAAAGCTGTTTCTATTTTTCGTCGCCAAAACCAGTTAGCTATCGAGAGAGAAATGCTTTCCCATCTTGCCTCCACTTTCTCCAAAAAAAAAAAAAAGGGGGGGGCTGATCACCGGCATCTCATATCACAATGCAAACCTGGTTTGACAGCACATCACTTTGAACCTTCGTTCTAGGCGCTACTGTGTCCTCCACCAAGTCATCTGGCCTGCTCGAATGTTGCGGATAGGCCCGACCGCTTGCTCGTTTCGAGTAAGTATAGCGGATGATAAAAGACTGAGGAGCTTAAGGGATATCTGCTAGTGCCCGTGAACACGGAGCCTTGATACAGACAGTATGGGCTTACTGAAAGTCCTCTGGGCTCCGAATGATAGAACGGCGAAGGGTGGATTCGCGACCTCCCCGCCCGGGGGGGGGGGGGGGGGGGGGGGGGTTTGAAATCTTGTCCAATGTCTCATATCTATAGATGCATATGAACGAGGGGGATTTGGGGGTTGGGCAGGCTCTCTCACCTTATAAGGAGAGTCCACCGCGTCATACGCTCGGAGGAGATTGTGGCATGTTGAGGCCATGGTTAACTGCAGGCACAGTTTCTTCAGAGTGTAACAGAGAGCGCGTTTAAGGAACGTTGAGATGCAGATTTGGATTCCTATGCGTTTTTCAATTAAACCATCGATAATAGCTTTATCTGCTCTAAAGCTCTATTCATTTATACATTTCCTTTCGAAGGAAAACGAACGGAGAAAGATTTGCAAAACATGGCATGTATGACGTCGTTACCTGCCGCGGACCATATCAGATAAAAAATGGAACTGTTCTCCGTGGTTCAGGTGAAGAGCAGGGAAGGGGGAGGAGAAAATGAATGGCGAAAGTAAGCCCATAGGTGCAATATCTGAGGATTCGACAGGTCTAGTTTCGTCTTGCTAAATTATCTTTTCTGTCTGGATTGCACTCTTCACAAGATATCAAATCATAGAATAGATATGAGCCAGAAAATAGAACCACACAAGGAACATCCCAGTCAAAGGATGTGACTAAGATATGATTCCAAAAGAGGGCTCCAAAGAGAATAAAAAAGAACAAGTCTCATCCTCCCCTGAGCATAAAAGGAAAGTAAAAGAAAAGTAAACTCCTCCCGTAAATCAATCCAGTTGCCATCCGAAATTCCGTACCTTTAATAAAACATAAAATGGGCATACAGCACTTACATTGTGTGAGAGAATAATGTAAAAAACAATCTCATTCATTCGTACATAGGTTTGATACAGAAGCCCTCGTATATTCCCCCC